AGGTGGAGGTGGGGAGCAAGCTCGAGCTGGGAGAGGAGTTGAGCTCCCGAGTCGGGAGGCCTGAGCGGGAAAGGCGGGAACTGGACCGCGGGGCTCCCTGGTACGCCCGCCCTGGACTGGGTTGTGGGTCTTGGCTGGGGGTCGCAGCGGGCAGCAGCGCGCGCAGAAAAGGGGGTACGGCTCTTTCTTGGGTGTTTTGCTGCTGCTCCTTGTGTTTTCATTAGGGAGGCGGTGCCGACGGAGAGGGCCCGCCTCGAAGCTTGGCGGGGTCTTTGTGAAAGGCTTGGTTATGAATTGTTCGGGTGGTTCGGATGCAACTTCAAAATGCAAAAGCAGCGGCGGATTTGCCCTGCTCCTTGTGCGGTGCACACGGTTTGCAGCCCGCGGAAATGCGGACTCTACCGACTCCTGGCGTCTGTGGTTCGGGGCGGCCCTCTTGTTCAGGAGGACCCACGCAGGAGTCCCCAGCCCCTGGCCGCTCGAGCCTGCTGCCCCTCCAAAGCGTGCCTAAGTTTCTGGGGCTCCCTGGCTGCAGAGAGGGCGCCACGGGGGAGCTGCGGGGCAGAGGAAGAGCGATTGTTGAGCAGGGTGCCCTGGGAACCCCGGTGTCCACTGAGCTGAGCCGGTGGCAAGCGCTAGGCAGCGACAGGGCCCCGCCCGTGGCGGGAGGGTGGACCAAGGTGACCCTGGCGGACAGGGCTCCTCTGTCCCATCCTTCGCAGTGGCAGATTCCACACTTTTCACTGCCTGGCTGGGAAGAGAAAGGAAACCTCTGGGGATGCTGGTCCCCATTCCCCCAAAGCCCCAGGATCCCATGCCCGACGCCCGGACAAGTTTCCCACGAGGCCAGGGCACAGCCCGCTGCTCCACGAGGAGCCAGATCACAAGCCCAGCCAGCTCCCAGAGGCGCTAATTCAATAAGACAGAGAAATCTGAGTTCAGAAATCCTGATAAAATCTAATTTTCAGGTTTTAATACCCTGGCTATCAGCCCCCCTCGGTTCCTGAGGACTCTTAAAAGAAAATAAAGCGCATTGATTCTATTTGTTTCTGGGAGCTGCAGTTTCTTAATAATATCAGGTGAAGATTTATTTTCCGAGGCGAAAACGATCCACCAGGACACAACCTCTTATTGCGAATTTCCCTGCCGGCTTCTCCCTGGCTGCTGCTCCTCCTTATTCGGGGGGCTTCTGCACCGCCCCTCCCCCTCCCCTGTTTTTCTTTTTTGGCAAAACCCAGCAATATCTGAGTGCTGAGCTCACAATTCCCCGTGCGATGCCAGCAAGGCCCAGTTGATTGACTGACTGTAAACACATTTTCCCCTGGCATTACTTTGTTGCCGCCCCCCCCTTCCTGGGAATGTGTGGCATTTAAGCCAACAAAACTGCAAAGCAATTAGCAGAGTTGCAAGTTGCAACTCCTGGCCTCTGCTTCGGGCCTCTGGGCTCCCTGCCTCCTGGCCACCCCGCCAGCTCTGTCCCGGCCCTCAGCAGTCCTGCAGTGGACGCCTGCAGCCGGCCTCTTAGCAAGCCCAAAGCTCAGCGCCCTCTTGTCCCCAGCCGTCAGGAGCTCCCTACCTGTTAGTGAACAGTCGGGAGTCTGCGGCTGGAAGAATTAATTAGGGGCATGCTGTTTTCTGGGCAGCACCAAGCTGCATCCAAGCCGTTGCCGGCCACGCTATTTTATTTTTACTACATTTTCTCTTGTTGTAAAAATAGACACTCGGCACGTTTTTGGGTTTTTTTTCCCCCCTGAGTTTTCTAGCAAGGAACACAGTCGGGGCCGGGCAGACTCTATAACAGGTTTCTCCCTATGCAGCCCGGAGTGAGACGGGAAAATGTGGCCCGGCTCCAGTCCCCATCCGTCAGCATTCAGGAGCCTTCATCCAGAGAGAGGGGCAGGGCTGCCCCAAACCGGGAGATGGATGAGTCCCCTGCGGGCCTGGAGCTGGAGCCGGGGACTTCTCCCAGAGCCCAGACACTCAGCTGCCAGCCCAGGCCACGGTGTCCACCCCTCCGATCTGTCATTCCTAGCGGGAGTGTGTTTGTGTCTCAGTGGTAAATGGGGTTTCACGGAAGCAGTTAACTCCTCGGGGACTTCCTGTGTAGCGTGGCTCAGGTGAGAGTGGAGCTGTGGAGCTGACGTGTGAGTGATTTGGGAATTTGAATGCAATAGTCCCGGGCACAATAAGCAGAATAGCGAAGTGCTGAGACACTTGCTGTAAGTCACCGTGGTAACCTTTGGCCTGTTGGCAAGTAGTTTTGGCTGGGGTCCCATGCTGGCAGGACAGGAATCCTCCTGGGGAGGTAGCAAGCCTTGGGAACGTGCGATGTTACTGGAGTCTTGCATTTCCCTGTGTAGTACTCGGATTAGTGATGTCTGTTTGGGTTTTTATGCAATTACCAGAGGCTCCAAAGAGTAAAGCAATAATCACAATAGTGATCCATTTATAGACCTCCCCTCTAAAGATGATTGTAAAATCTTGGCCTTGATCATTTTCATTTCTGTGCAAGTCTTCAATACCCTACTTTCTTATCCCAGTTAAAAAAAAAAAATTAAACTCACCATTTCAGGTTATGGTGATCTGTTTGTCGGAACCTAGTTCTCCGCAGCTGGTCCAGATGTGGACACCCGTTCCTCTGTACCCGTGGGTGGGGTCCCCTCTGTACCCACTGTTATGGCCTCATCACCCCCCCCAACAACTTTGACGTTTTGACATGTCGGCGTGGTATTTGAAAGCAGCCATGAAGTCTTGTCTCGAGGGGTCTCCGGCCCTCAGGCAGAGCCACTGTGACCAAACCAGCACCACCCCAAACAATGAGATGTGCTCACCTTTTCCATAACGGGCCCGATCCCCACATGTGAGACTCTGATATTAATAAAAATAACCCAGTTTCCTCGGGAGACCTTGCTAATGCAGCCTCATTTTTTGCATATTTTGCCAGAGAGCTTTTGTTCTTATACATCTCGAATCTTCCCCTTTTTAATTTGCTGCAGGTGTTGTCGCTAATGGGCGCCCCCCCCATCTCTCTCTGTCTGTCTCTCTCTCTTTCTCTCCAATGAAAGACAAGCCAGACCCCAGGTACCTGGATGGACTGAAAGCTAAAGTAATAGAAACTTCATAACAAGTCACCGGTGGCACCAGGCAAGGCCAGCTGGCCCCCGTTAGTAGTGGCTGCCCCCCCAAAGCAGGGCCGAGTCTCCTCCCCAGTTAACACAATAGCTTTTTTATTGTTTTGCAGCCTAGTCCTATAGTCGCTGTCAACTTCAGCCCATATGAAAAGAAATCTCTTTTATTGGTCTGAGATGCACGGTCCAGTCCCAAGGAGGGAGCGCGTTTCCAGCTAATGTGTAAACCTCCTGATGTTATTTTTTATCTTTATCATGCAGGCCGGAGGCTGTTACCCAGTGGCGTTGGGCACATCACGCATTGAGGGCCCTTTAAAGACCTGGATTGATTGGAAGGACAAAAATTAAAAGCAATCTGATCCAGCCCCATGCCGGATCCCTGCGGATTCCCTCCTTATCCTATTTCCACCCACTGTCACAATTTGAGAGTCTGCCTGATTTGATCAGATGCACCTCCGGGGGAGGTGTTGACGCCAAGGTTAGGAGGACGCCAAGTTAAGGCAACTTCTTGATCTGCCCATCAGCAGTCTGAGAAACGCTGGCTCTGAATTTTCTGAGGTGGCTTTCTGGAAGAAACAAGTTCCTCGCTGTTTGCAAACCTGCAGCGCTCAAGCCTCTGGGACAGCCCGGCCCCCGCCGCCTGGTAGATGTGGCTTTTCCATGCTGAGGGCGGGAGTCCCACCT